CTGAAAGAGAAACATAACTGAAGATTAATCAATAATAACTGTTTACCGAAAAACAAAACAGAAACAAACAAAAAGTGGGTGTTTGTTTTGGGGAGGTGGGGAGGTGGGGAGGGAGAGAGGGTGGGAAGAGAAGTGAATCTCTAGAAATCAGAAATACCATGACTGTCTTCCACAATCTGACAAGTTAATTCCATATATAGATTGCATTTTCCATACTGCTTACCCAGCTGTCTCAGAGATTCTGGGGAATGGGCCGGAAGAGAGTGACCAACTTTTTAGAGCTATTTGAAGAGGTCTGCCTTCCCAGAGTTGGGGGCAGGTGGAGAATTTCCCCTCTTCCCTATTTTAACGTTTTTGTGCCAGTGCAGCAGGGTAAAAAGAGGGATAAGTCTCATTTTTGGATGTTGGAATTCTAAGGACAGAATAAATGTGTTTAAACAAAGCTAAAGGTGTTTTTGATGGATGCTATTCTGACTTCATGGAGTCTTTGTCTTCCCCAATATTCCATTTCCTCCCAGCCAAAAACCAAAACATTTTGGGATTGTGTCTAGACATCCTTTACTATTTTTTTTTCTGAAGAAAAAAGAAAGCTGAGAGACCATGCTAGATTTTAAACCTGTCGTGCCTAAAATTTGATGGTGATGACTTATTCCCAGGAAATTGAAGGAAGAGCAGGTAGTAATAGGCACAGGGATTGAACTTGTGATTTCATTAGCATAGGGGCTTCCAGGTGAGGAAACTCCCTCTACCAATGTTGTTCAGTGCCTGCTCAATAATAAAGTTTTAGAATTATCTGGGGGCAATAGGAAATTGTCACTTGTCAAGAGTCTTCTATTCAGTTAAATCCAAATCTGTTTTGGCCTCCAGGCTAGCTCCTCTATTCACTACAACACACAGCCTTTCTAGCTAATAATAGACTACCTTTATATAGCACAGTAATGTTTACAATGAACTTTACATAAATTATCACATTTGAACTTGACATCTACCCTGTGAGGTTTTAATACAAGTAATAATATTACCATTTTTCAGATAAAGAAACTGAGGTTCAAAGGTTAAGTGACTTCCCCAAAGTCATAAGGCTATTAAGTGGAAGAGACACTCTAGAACCCAAGTTTTATCAATCTAAAACCACCGTTCCTTCTACTACAAAGAATAAAACTAATCCATCAGAGTTCTTCAATGAGCTGTAATCACCTAAGGGTTTCTTTTGTCTCCAGAGTATAGTACAGGGCTCATGGACATAATGAGTATACCTTTAATGGACGTTTGTTGAATGGTTTTGTTGCTCTGCCCAACTTCTTCCTCAAGGTAGTTTGATGTGACCAGTTCACACTATTTGTGAAGCTAAGTTGGGTTACTATTCTCCTCAAACTGATGTTGGGAATTGAAGTATAAAGAGACATTGTTAGGAGCACTTTCTGAACAAGAAAGACTCATCCTTAAAGGGTAGAGGAACCATTGACCTTGATAGTGGTAGAAATGGAGAAGCTATTTATATTACCTCATTATTAACAAGACCAGCCAGTCACCAGACCCCTTTCTCAAATTCCTGATCCTTCTTTCTCCTTCCTGTACCTAGCTTTCTAGGCAGCTGGCCTATCCAGGAAATCCATCCAGAAAAGGAGAGGTAGGAGGACAAATCACAACCACTGGGGATGCCTTTCCCACCTTCCTCCCTCCCGCTACTACTAAGAACACTTATAGGTTACTGGATTACTCCCATGGTCTAGATGAAATGGAAATCATCATCTCTCTTCTTTCTGGTAATATGGAAGGCCAGCAGGTCTTATAATCTGCCTGTCTGTATAGCTTTCAAACCCCTTGCACTATCATCTGACCTAGTGCTATAACCTAAGGGCTCCTTGAGGGTAAGGTCTGCCTTTTTTAAACTTGTGTCCCCTGCCCTTAGAGTGCTTGGTAAATGCTTTTTCATTCATTGATTCATTCATTTATCTCTTCATGAGTGTGGACTCACTGCTGCCTGCTCCCATTTGAAGAATATTGCAGATGGAACTGCTTCATTGAGCAGCTAGTTGCAGTAGATGACCTCTAATGCTTAGCGCCATTCTGAGATTCTCACATAGTAGAGAGAGTGCTGGATTGAGAGTTAGGAACATCTGAGTTCAACTCCTGCTTCTGACACTAGCTATATGACCATGGGCAAGTCATTCAATTTCTATATGCCTTAATTTCCTCATCTGTAAAATTAATGGTTGCTTTAGATGGTCTTTAAGGTCTCTTGGATCTCTGTGGTCTTATAGCCTCAGGAAAATCTCTCAATTGTGTCAGATTCTTATAATAGAAAGCCCACCATGGGGGAGATAAGTGGCACAGGAACAGTGGACCCAATATCGGGAAAATTTGAGTTCAAATCTAGACTCAAACTTTACCAGCTGTGTGACCCTAGGAAAGTAACCAAAATGGGGAAATTAATAGCATCTACTTCTCAGGACTGTTCAGAGGATCAATGAGACAATATTTGTAAACATAGAGCTTGGCCCATAGTAGGCATTTAATGAATGCTCATTTCATCCATCCAGTCACCAAGCCTCCATCTCTAATCCATCATCAGTTGTGAATATAATTCAACCTTTTATAATTCAGCATCCTTTCAAGGAATATTCCCTAGATCAAAATTATTTCATAGTCTAGGCAGAATATCTACCAGACTCAGTGCCAAGAGAGCTTGCAACAGAGTTATCCTTATTTTCATGAAGAAATGCTAGGACTGATAATTGAACATTCTTTGAATCAGATAACAAGCCATTTGATAGAGTGAATACCACTTGTCAAGAGACCTATATTCTTACTCTTAGATCTGTTTTCCCTACTAATTCATTTTGAAATGTTGTGCAAGATGAATCCTGAGTTTCTTCATCTGTTTAATGAAGAGGTTCCTTTCAACACTAAAATTTTATAATTCTGCATTATTTCTTTACTGACCTCTATTTCTCAATGAAATTTAAGAATATCCAAATCCTGCATCAATTTCTCCTTTCCTTGGGACTTTTCGTCAAGCTCTTTTCCTTGGAGAGAGAGGGGAATGTTCTCAAGTTCTGAGGGCCAATGAGTGGCATGATTACTCTCAGAAGGAACAAAACACACAGGCTGCTTAATTTACTGAATGTCATATGTACACATAAAAAATACTTAATGAAAACTCTGGTTTCAGAAACAAAGTCTAAGGTAGTTTTTATGAACAGTTGGTTGTGGGAGAAATAGAACATCAGTAACTTTTTTCATAAAAGTAGATATGATCACTGATCCTGGGGAAAAATTCTAATAACTTTTAAAAATATATTTTATCAACTGTATTAACATGTTCATACTATATATACAAAACCATAACATCAAATATTTCAGGCCAAACCCAGAAAACTTCATGTCACGACAAACCCTAGTAACAAATTTCCCAGAAAAAAAGACCACAAATTAAATGCAACTTTTAAATTCTTGAAAATTTTTGTTTCAAATAAATTAATTATTCCCCACCCCCACTTCCTAAAGTAGAAAACAGTTCTGCAACTTGCACAAGATTAATGAAAATGAACCCCTTTCTTCTATTATATATGGTAGCAGTAAATTGTTACTTGTAAAAATACTGGGGTCCTAGCCCATTATGAAGAGCTCACACTAACTATTTGGCAGCATATGCTTTTGAGGGGAAAAAAAAGTAGGACTGAAATAGTCCCCTGTAATGAATAGACTTTTTCTCCTCAGGGTGACCTCTACCTTCAGAATATGATGGTTTTATTATGATTAATAAATTTCATTTCCACAGAGGAAAAAGGAACAGTGTCAGCTCAAACTTAAAGCAAGAAGGCTTCTTTTTAAATGCTAATTTCTTAACATGCCCTTGTATGACACTAAGATTTAGACACAAGGTTATTAGGGAAGATTCGGACTCTAACGTTACATTTGTGGCGGATATCCCAGGCATATCAATAACCTGATATCCTTACAACAGGATAAATGCTAACCAAAAGTACATAGTCAATTCACTTAGACTTAAATAAGAGTGATATGAGACTTCCTTATTACCAAATTATGTCCTGAACAATAACATTGATTGAGTCTTGCTCTATTTTTTTTTGAGGATTTAGGGTGATTCTTCTATCTTTCATCTAGACTAATCACAAAGTAAGCGATGCAGGATAAATTAAGGCTAGCTTTTCTTTTTTTTAAAAAAATTATGGAAATATAAAGCACAGATTCATGAATTGCAGAGGATTGGGCTGTAGCTTAATGAAAGCTGCTAGTGGAGGAGGAAGATGATGTGTAAGAAATGAGAAAGTAACCATAGTAGTAAAGGTCCTTACTGATTTATTTTCTAGCATTTCTAATTTTACTCTCAATAACATAATACTTAAGCCCATTTTGAGGCATTCAGAAATAAGTTATCTCTGTGTTGGCGATAGGAAGTCCACAATTTCACAAAATCCCAGAGAAAGCAGTATTTTGCAAGGTAATCCAATGGATTATTTTTGCAAATACAATGGCAGAATATCCAAGTGGGAAAAAAAAACCTGAATTCTTTTAAACTGCAAAAAACTAGCTTGGCTAAGATAGTAAGAATAATCCATAAACTGTGCTTGATGCAGTTTGATTATAGCATGAGCTGGCAGAGCATGGAATTTACAACAACATGGTATCTCAGTCCCACCCAAGGTGTTCAGTTTTCAGGAATACTAGGATGGCCTTGGTCAAGGTTTACCACATGGTCCTCCAGCATGTATACAAAGATAGCTTTAGAATGAGAGTTGAATCTGTTTAAGTATATGCCCTTAATCTATTGTTTTTGATACTATTATGTAGGGCAATGAAACACGTCCACTGATGATATTTTGTGAAAGCAGTTTGTATCTGAGGGACACAGACCAAGTTCAAACTTGTTGGTATGCTTCTTATTTCTCAACAGTTGAATTACTGGAATCTGGATTGTCACTTAGAAGGCAGTTAGCCCCACCGGCATGTCTCCTTGCCAAGTGGATGTGAAT